AAGGAGAGTGGGAAGTGGGCTTAGAAGAGTAGGGAAGGGGGAAGAAGAAGGGGAAATGGAGCGGGTACACACCCGAGGTTGCCGCTACAGAGATATGTTTGCGATTTTGATGTTACCTTCTTTCGACTCGCACGAGTGGAATAGAGCTATGCGTGCATGCGTATATGCGACTGTGAATCTGATAACGAGGTAGAGTGATATCGTGGCTGAAAACTCGCGTGTGTGCTCAACGGTTTAAGATCTCAACGTCTGCCCTTAATTGGGTTGTCTCGCACTTCGTGAAATAGAGGGAGTGGGCGGTAGAGACGAGGAGCGAGAGTGAGACTGTGAGCGTGACAGTAAAGAGGGATGAAGAGAGAGGGACGAAGACGTTGCATGCATGAGAGTGCGGAGACAGACGAGCGGTTGTGAGTCAACTTGTAGCCGATCGAGAAAGAAGAAAGCAAGAGAGACGCGAAGAAAAAGAAAGAAGAGAGAGAGAGACGATTATGAGAGAGAGAGAGAGAGAGAGAACGAAAGAGAAAGAGAGGGATAGAGAAAGCGCGCATACGAATGAGAGAGAGCAGAGAGTATAGCATACGTAGAGAGAGACGGATGGGGCAGTTGCGGGAAAAGAGGAAAAACGAGAAGAGAGGAAGCCGCAGAAAAAAAAGATAGCCGTCTGTCGAGAACCTTCGGCGGCAGCTTCGCAACAATTATGAAACTGTGTATATTATTCCCACACGTTACTTATGCCAGACTGCATCTTAACGTAAAAATCTGAAAGCAAAAACCTGCGTTTAACACTCGAAAATGCCATCGCCTGCAAAAATGGCATCGTTCTTCTCTAACTGTATATGTATACTCCCCAACATACGTGTATCTGTACTGCATCTTTCCGGTGGCAAGAAAGCCGAGAGTAAAGTAAAGAGAACGATAAAGTAAAGTACAAATACACAAAGTAAATAGTAAAGAAAGCGATAAAGTAAATTAAAGTAAAGTAATGTAAAGTAATGTAAAGTAAAGTAAAGTAAAGTAAATTAAATTAAAGTAAAATAAAGTAAAGTAAAGAGTGCGATAGCATGTAAGACACCGTTGAGCTTGTCATATGACGAGGCTATAGTTGTCTAATACGTTATACTGATCTTCAATGCGACATTGAAATATTTCCCTATTGGGTCGATTCGTGATGTAGTTTAGCAACGAGACTGTTGGGAGATGATCAATTTTCGTCGTGATTTTTTTATTATAATGTCGGCGCACCATGAGTTATTTTACTCAAGTAAAATGAACGCATGATATTGTCAACAATTACTCAACGAAAATCCGCCGCACACGTGAGTAAAATGACTCATGCGTCATAACTCACGTGTGCGCTGGGCTTAAGAAAGAATCACTTTTCCATTAGGCGCCATCGCTATATCACTTTATCACTTTATATCTTTATCTAATGATATATACTATATTAGAGAGAGAGAGATGAGAGAGGAGATGAGAAAGAGGAAGAGAGAGAAGAGAGAGAGAGACGAGAGAGCAGAGAAAGAAGAGAGAGCGAGAGATTTAAGAAGAGCGGTAGAAGGTATTTTTTGAGAGCGCATTCCGTGTGGTTTTTGAGAAGACTAGGCGGGAGAGTTGCACACACGCGATTCGTACACAGGTCTTTTTGATTCTTCGTTTCAGATTTAGCGCTCATTCAAGACGGTGGGACAGGCGGTTCGACTGGGCCTGGTGCGAGCGGGGACCGCGCGAGAGCAGGCAGAGAGACGAGAGAGAACTCAACCAAGAGCAGAGAGAGAGAGACGAGAGAGAGAGAGGAGAGAGAGATGAGAGAGAGATGGGAGAGAGCGAAGAGAGACGAGAGCGAGAGAGCGAGAGCCGAAAGGAGGGAGCTAGGGAAGGGGAGTAACTAACGTAGAAAATAGCAGTAGAAGGTTTTGCCTTATCGTTTGTGGGGATTTTCCTTTCCTTTAGCCGCTTTTCGAGAATCCATAAGAATCTAGCACATTAGTCAAGATATAATATATCATTCCCATAATATATATATATATATATATATATATATATATACATATGGAATATTATTCCATATAGAGGGCGCCTCAGTTTCTTAAGATTTTTTTCCGCGACATGCACCGATATCATATAGCACACACAGTGTCTAAAGTATATTATAGTATATCTACGCCCGCGAGCACGATGTGTAGTGGGGTCCACGTTGTTCACTTTTATAGACACCCCGCCCCCCCGACTCTGCGCACCACAGGGCATTTCTGTTTATTACAACAAATATTCGGAGAAAATCCCTCACACATCAGAAATCAGGATGTGTTTATCTTCAAAATATACCCACCCCTTTAACCATTTTTTCTTTAACATTTAACTGGAAACACGCTGCAATTTGTCAGTTGACGATAATTCTTGAATGTTTTTATAACATATTTTTCTATATCGGTGTTGTTTTATAGGTTATTGGTGTTGGTTTTTAGTTTTTAATAGGCCCCACCCCCCGATGTTACGTTTTCTTGATTTACTGCGTATTATTGGTCACAAAATATACAGGACCCTTTTGTCAATTTGGCTCAATATAATGTGGCTCAAACTTTAAAACATCTAGAGGGAGCCCTGTATGTATGCATATTATATAATCTATATATATATATATTATAAGTATATTATATTTTTTTTTTTTTGTTTTCTAGTGTAGATGTTCTCAGACTCGGGGTTGCTAA